ACCAGAGCAGGACCAGCCCTGAGGGGCTCAGGGATGGGGTCCCACTCACCAGCTGCAAGTGCTCAGCCGGCTGCTTATACAAGTAGTCGGCCAGGTCCTCGTCGAAGCTGGCCAGGTCCTCCATCTCCACCTCGATCCAGTACTCCCCCAGATTGTAATGCCGCTTGAGTTCATCCCTGGAGGGGGCAGGTGGCAGGGTGGGGGCGGGGAAGGGTGCAGAGAAGAGGAAACCAACGCTGGCTGAGGTGCACCCGCACCCCAAATCTGCCCACACTGGGGCCGCCACTGCCCCACCACGCCACTGCCCCACCACCCCTCTTCCCAAACACACATCGAATTCCAGGTGGTTCCGTTAGTTAACCCTGCAGAGGCTCCCCGCCGCTGACAGAGCCACCCTCCACAGAAAGCTCTGTGGAAGTGGTCCACCAGATAGTCGAAGGATGCTGCATGGCTCAGATAGGGTTCTGCGCACAGGTGAGTTTAGGAAACTCGCACTGCAAACCAGCACTTTCACTGCAGGACTCAGAGGCTTTAACTCTCTCTTGGAGGTTAACAAGGCACACAGCTCAAACTCGGAGACTGAAGACAGCAGAGACCGTGTCTGTCTTGTCAACCACCAGACTCTTTTCACAGAACATCCCATGGGACTACTGTCCCCAAAACACATTTGGGGACCACGACCTACGCAGAACCTGCTCCTCAGCCTCTCTCAGGCCTCATCCCCTTCACCTTATGTCCAGGAGCCCGGCCCAGAGAGCCCCTTGCTATCACAGGCCACCCCGTACCTCTGCCCGTGCACGCAACTGCTCCTATACGGAAAGCCTTCCACACCTGAACTATTCTCTCAGCTCAAGCATCACCTCAAATTTGGGCTCCATGGAAGCCTTCCCTAACTCCTTTTATATTTCTCCTTTGAGGTGACTATCACCTTGTAATTTATTTGCTGGTCTCCATGCCTCGCTCCTACTGATGTATGAGCTTCTTGAGGGCAAACAGAATGAATCTTTCACCTTTGTATCTCAGTGCCCAGCACGGCGCCTGGCACACAGGTGGTCCATGTCAGCTGGTGCGTGAGTAAACAGAGGCAGGAGTGGCTAAGCCCATTTTACTGATGAAGAAACTGAGGCCCAGAGAGACGGTCACTCGGAAGCCACTCAGCTAATAATTGGTCATGCCCAAGCCTGGACCTGCAAACTCATGTTCTCTGCACTTGAAGGGCCTACAAGGATTCGGCATGACGTCACAGGGTGCACAGTGTCCAACCTTGCCCAGCTCATTCAGTGCCTGGAACAGTGCCTGGCCTGGCCTGCAGCAGACGCTCAATTCACTCAAGTTACAAATGGCAAGGAATGAATGAGCAAAGTCGATCATAACTACCACCCACAGGTCGCACCCACAGTGAACCTGAGTTTACAAGGCATCACAGACACTACATGTGAGGACAGCACGAAGCACATGAGCAGGAAGAAGACCTAGAGGAAGAACCAAAGGGCCCAAGTGGCTCTAGCGGCCCACTCAACAGGTGACTCACTGGGAAGTTAACACTGGGGATAAAATGGACACAACCATAGGCCAGTGGGGTGCGGGACCCCGCTGAGCGCACAGGCACCGCTGGGGGCGCACCTCTCCCGGCCCGCGCCAGCCCGCACCTGTATTTGAAGGTGAAGCCGGTGCGGTCGGTGCCCACCCGGTACTGCCGCAGGAACTCCTTGAAGCGCCTCTGCAGCTGCGACTTGCGGGCGTGCCCCTCGTCGGCCGCGGTGTCGCCCCCGAAGCTGTCGCTGTAGAAAATGCCGGGGTCGTCGAAGCCCGACATGACTGCACCTGGCGCGGGGACAGAGCGCTGGAGCGGGCCGGGCGGCGCGGCCTCGCCTCCGCTCGGACGCCGGGGTCCTCGGCTCCGGCGGCTGGGCGCCCCTGGCTCCCCGCCGGAGCCCACCCACGCCAGCTCTCCCAGGAGAAGCCCCGCCCGCCCCTACCGCGCCCCCACATGCAGAGCCTGTCGACCCCCGCGGGGCCGGCTCCGCGGTCCCCAGGCCCCCGGCCTCACCTCTCCCTTCCCACACTCCGCGGCCCGGGACAAACCAGCACCCCACACTTCCCCGCCGACTTTCGCGGGAAAAGCGAGACCCCGCCTTCGCCCGCCGCGGCCGCTGCGCCCCCATTGGTTCGCCGGGGCCGCGCGGCCAGTGATTGGGCCGCTCTGAGCCCGCGAGCCCCGCCTCCCGGGCCGGCCGCCGAAGAGGATTGGCTGCGGGGCGCCTGACGTCAGTCCTGGCCCCCTTCCGGGCTCCATTTTGTGCGTCGGCCAGTTTGGCGCGAAAGTTCTGAAAGGGGAGGAAGAGGCGGGGCGGGCGCGAAGATGGCGGTGGGGCGGGAGGACTGAGGGTTCTTTTACAAGTCTGGTGGGAAAGTAGCCCCTTTCCGAGCCATGGGGTGTAAGAACTCGGGGTTCAGAAGCTATGGGGGTCAGCCCGTGGCTTAGCGGTTAAGTGCGGGCGCTCCGCTACTGGCGGCCCTGGTTCAGACGCCGGCCGTGCACCCAGGCACCGCTTCTCTGGCCACGCTGAGGCTGCATCCCACATACAGCAACTAGAAGGATGTGCAGCTATGACATACAACTATCTACTAGGGCTTTGGGGAAAAAAAGAGGAAAAAAAGGAGGAGGATTGGCAATAGATTTTAGCTCAGGGCGGGTCTTCCTCAGCAAAAAGAGGAGGATTAGCATGGATGTTAGCTCAGGGCTGATCTTCCTCACAAGAAGAAAAAAGCAGCTATGGGTCCTGGAGAAGCACGCGCTTGCGCAGTGTGAGCCCCCTGCACCCCCACCCCGTGTTCTCTTACCGGTACACACTCGCCCAAAAGTCGGAGGTTTATCAGGAAAAAGTCACCTCGGGTCTCCCTAACACCTCTGGGACCAAAATCGTCCCAAACTTGGGACGCAAGGGATGTTTTCTTAGACCCGAGTGGTGATTTTTTTTATTATAGATTTTGCATTACCTGGCAGTGCTTAAAATTTGTGAAAATTCATGACCAGATCCCCAACCTAGCTTGAAAAGCAAGAAGATTTGGCAAAACTCGATGCATTCTCCAGCTGCAACAGGGACCGCATCATCTCCCCTCCCTTCTTTTCCTTTCCCACCCCCCAAAGAACTGGAAAGAACTTTTTACCCTCTTGGTCACATCCACACAAACATAGATTTATGTGTTCAAACTATGTGTATTTTTACAGTATGTAAAAATTATATCAAATGAATCTGAAACTGGCTTTGCTCATTTTCTTCACGGAAGTCCCTCTGAGCGGAGAGACAGATTTAACGCATTCTGTTTAACAAGCCGCTACGTTTTCCGTAGTATGAATAGGATATAAATTATTGGGCCATTTTCCTGTTGGTAGAATTCTAGATGGTTTCTCTCGCCCGCCCCCTTCCTTCCTTTCTTTGTCATGACTAACAATGAATATGGATGCCCCGTTCACAGAAAGCTCTGGAAACTGGGCCCAGGTGGGGAGAGCTGTGGCTGCTGTCTGATGCCTGCTCTCTGGCCATCACCTCTTGAAGTGGCCCCGGGACCTGGCCGCACGGTGGAAGCTCTCCGTGAACAGAATTCCAGAGTCCCGTCAAGGGCTCCAGAGTCAGAACCTCCCAGGGTGGGACCCGAATTCCCCGAGTGATTCCGATGTCACATCCGCTGGTGTTTGGTCACCACTGGGCCCTCCCACCAGCTGTGGGAGGCAGGCGTATTGTTCTCTTTGCCAATGAACAAAGACTTGAAGTGACATCCAAGTTTCCAGACTTAGTGACCAAGCCAAGTCTGGGGATCAAGGTCTCCTGACTCCCGGTCCTCGCTTCCTACTGGTATAAGGAAACCCTTTGTCCCCTACTGTCCCAACTCCACCTTCAGTAAGGGGTTTCACTTTCCCAGAGTGGGAGGCTGCATATTTAGTGTTTCAGTGGCTTTTGTGACTTCATGGAAAAGGCTTGAGTTTTAGGGCCGGACAGACCTGGGTTAAATCCTTCCTGCCCCTCAGAGTGGTAACACCCCTGTCAGGTTTGCTGTGAAGATTAAATGAGATGACAGAGGAGAGGTGACTCTCACAGGACAAGAATCACTTGGCAGGGGCTGGCCCAGTGGTGTAGTGGTTAAGTTCACGCCCTCCACTTTGGCAGCCCGGGGGTCCCGGGTTCGGATCCTGGGCACGGACCTACAAACCACTCATCAAGCCATGCTGTGGCGTCATCCCACATACAAAATAGAGGAAGATGGGCACAGATGCTAGCTCAGGGCCCATCTTCCTCAAAAAAAAAAAAAAAAATCACTAGGCAAGATTCACAAAAAACTGATCTCCATCGTTTCACAATAGGAGCTCTTGTGGTATGAGGTTGGCATCTTACCTGCATCTCATTTGCTTCTCACAACAAGCAGGTGAAATGGGTCTCACTGTGTTCATGTTACAGGTGACAGAACTGAGTCCCAGGGAGGTTAATAACTAACCTCCAAGGCAGAGCTACAAAGTGGAGGAACGGGAATTTGAACCCAGGATCTCAAGTCTTTAAGATTTATCGTGTGGGACACACAAATTTTATCCCAGAATCTGCTCATTTCAGCCTCACGGGGCAATCCCATCCTCGGTAAAGCTGAGCCTCACGTCGAGCGGGGTTTGCCACAAAGATTCGCCCACCAACAGCTTAAAGCTCACGCACCAACGTTCTCAGAACAGAGCACAAGGTCCAAAAACAGCTCCTGCCACCAGCACCCTCACCACGTCTCCCCAGCAGGCAGTCAAGAAACAAGCAACGAGAAGGTCTGTTCCCCAAGGGTAACAGAGCCCAAGAAAAACACTCCGAGTTACTATCAGGCAGTATCCTTTATTATTTCACACACAAGTTAGAGACCAAGGCCACAGTGCTGTTAAACACCTCCCTCTGCACCCCCTCCCGCCCCCCCCCAAACCCACCCCAACCCTGCTATAAAAACATGAGAACACAACAAAAATCCCCAGTTCAGGCTGAGCCGGGAACAAAAAGTGGCTCCAACAAAAACAAGACAGACACACGAGACACAAGATCTTTGCACATTTATGTAAAAACTGCCATGGGCCGCGGTCACAGCGGGCACAGCACGTCAGCGAGGAGACCGTGAACCCAGGGCATCTGGAGGTGAGGAGAGCTACCTCCGCGGGCCACGTCTTCTGGGCTCTGCTGCAGGAACGGGGACGCTGAGGGGCTGGCGGGACCCCTCGGCCCGCTTCAAAAGTTCAGATCATGCAGCTGGCTGCGCTTTTGGCTGGGGAAGCCGCCACAGGCTCCTTGCTTTCCAGAGAGAGAGGGACGCAGGGAGAGGGTGGGGGCCCGACAGCCCCCGTGCCCAAGGTAAGGAAGCCAGCCAAGAGATTCTCCCTCTCCAGAAAGAGGCCTTCCGTTGGCGAGAGTTCACGGCTCCCAGGAGCCAGCACGCTGGCATTCACATGGCGTAGAGCCCCACGGCCACCGTCGCCACCAAAAAGCTGAGCGTGAGGACCCACTGGACGAGCGGCACCTGGGAGAGGATGTTGAGAGGGAGCTTCCCCCCGGGGGTCTCCGTGGGAGTAGAGTCTGCAAGAGAAAGGGGGGCAGTGTCAGCAACAGGTGGACAGAAGTGGGGTGTCTAATGTCACAGAAAAACACAGCAGGACAGTCCCCACTCAATGCTAGAACACCAACAGGTAGCCCCCCAGCCACTGCTTGAATACCTCCCACGACAGGGAGCTTACTACTGCTCCAAGCCGTGCACTCCTTCCATTTTCAGCCAGCCCACACTGTGAGCAAGTACCCTCCAGGGGTACCCCAAGGGACCACACTGTGAGAACTGCTGCATTAGGACCAAGTCCCCTCAGCCCACCAGGTGGCCAATCCCATCAGGACTGGCCACATTCCAACGCTCCGGGGCACAATCCCACCAACAGAGGGGTCCATGTGGTCCTGGCACACGTGGGAAAGACACAGGGCCAGGTGGGGTAGGGTGGCACCAGGAACAAAGGCCTAAAGTAACCCGCCAAGCTGGCGGCTGAGCTTCACTCACCCCTCCCCTCCCCTACTCCCAGAGCCACACTCCCGCCCACGGGAGATGGTGCATTTTGTGGAGCACTTTAGTGTTTCTGGAAGTTTCCCAGATATTCTCCCAGCACAGCCACAGCCTCAATAGCTCTCTGAGGCATGTGAGGCAGGGACTCACACGAGACGAGACCCAGAGGTTACGTGTCTTCCTAGCCTTCCGTGGTGGGATAATAGCTAGCAACAGTCCTGGTCTCCCTGCCCCACATCAGAGTATCTCTGCTTAGGAACTATTACAGGGCCCCCCAAAAAACCTAAATTAACCGAGGGCAGGGCTTTACCCATGACTTCCCAGGTCCTTTGTGTGCAAGTCTCCCCTTCTGAGCCAGTGAACGAGAAACTAACTCAACCGCGCTTGATCTTAGTGTTGGGGAAACTGAGGTGTGGAGAGGTTACACGGCTTCCCAGGGTCACACATTGGGGGTTGACCCCGGGCCCTCTTCCCTGCACCCTACTTCCCATTCAAGACATTGAGAAGACAGAGAGTCAAGAGACGCGGGAGACACACAGCTGGGCCGCAGGGCCCTCCCACAGAGCCCAAGGGAGACACCGCCCCCGGGGAGGCCCTCACCTTGCGCCCTGCTGCCCTCCTGCCGGTGGAGCCCTGGTGCCTTCGTGGGGCTCTGGTCCTTGGTGTTCCGTGTCAGCAGCTCCTGCAACTCCTCAAACAGCTGAAAGACAGAAGATGCACACGCCTGTCTCAGAGAGGAACACAGACTTCCTCGGAGGGTTGACTGGGTTTTGGTGGTTGTTGCTTTTTAAGGGAAGGCGTGGGAGGGGCGTTGCTCCACAGCAAGTGCCAGGACCACTCTCTTCTGAGGTCCCGGGCTGGGAACAGGGGACCGGGGGCATAGCCAGGAGCCCCAGGCTCCATAGCGCCTTCAGGCAGGTGGAGAGCGATAGGATTCTACAACAGCCAAGTTAGAAGAAACCTCACCCCTACTCGGAACACCCACTCCCAGCTCCACCCAAGAATCCATCCTTCAAGGCCCTGCTCAAAGCCCACCTTCCCCCTGGATTTGGGGAGGCGGAATCCTGGGCTGCGCTGAGAGGTCCAGGAAGGCAGAGGCCACATCTGGGGCACCTGTAACCCCTGCAGTGCCAACCTGGCCACACACAAGTGCACACACAACTTATATGTTGTCACAGAGCATTGTCAGAGTGCTACCACTGCGATGCTCATGCCCCAGTAACAGTAACCAACAATGGAGGCCTGACCCTGTGCCAGGCCCTGAGATGGAGACTTTACTGGTATAAACTCACTTAACCCTGACAACAACTCTAAGAGGTAGGTGCTATTATATCCCCGTCTTACAGATGGGGAAACTGAGGTACAGAGAGATTAAGGGATTTGCCCAAGATCACCCAGCCAGTAGGTGGCAGAGCAGAACCCTGGCTCCCGAGTCCCTGCACTTAACCGTGACCCTCAGCCCCCTCCCCTGAGGGGGAGGAGAAATGTCCCCGGAGGAGCAGCTGGGGGAGGGGGTGGCCACCTGGGACTGCCGGACCCTCACCTGAATGTTGAGCAGGAACGAGGCCTTGACCTCTTCGATCACCCTCTGCCGGACCTCGGGGGTCATCTCCAGGGAGTTCATGCGCGAGCGATAGAGCTGCTTAAACTTGGTGGCACTGACGACGTTGGGGAAGGTGAAAAAGGCCACACCCTCGCCGGAGCCGGGCAGGTCCAGGGCCTTCTGAGCGATCTTCTTGAGGACCTGGCCCCCCGACAGGTCGCCCAGGTAACGGGTGTAGGCGTGGGCCACCAGCAGCTCGGGTTCCAGGCGCCCGACCTCTCGTAGTCGCCTCACGTAGTGCCCGGTGGCCTGCGTGTAGGGGATCACCTCCTGCCAGCGCGGCCCGTACCAGAAGGCCATGTCCTGCTCCAGGGCGGCCCTGCGGTGCAGCTCCTCCGGGAAGTACAGGGGGGCGTAGACCAGGTTCTGCTTGTTGTGCTCGATCTCCTCCTCCAGGGCCGCGTAGACGTGGTACAGGGAGGCCATCAGCAGCTGAAACCGGAGCCAGCAGCTCAGGCCTAGGCCGAGCGTGAGAACCCCATCCAGCCCCTTCCCTCCGGCCTTCAGAGAGGCCCTCACCACCTCCCCTGCACCTTCCGCTGGCCCTTCCAGCCGCTCCACCGGGCAGCCAGAAGGAGCGTCACGTGAGGAGAACTCGAGCATGCATCTCCTGAGCGCCAAACCCTTGGAACCCGCTGGCTAAAGCATGCGGCCTAACTTAATCCTTACAGAAACTCAACCAGGGTGTTGCCATTCCCACTTGACAGAAAAGGAAACTAAGGCTCAGAAGGCGCATGAGACGCTGAGGTCAAGTGAAATGAGAGTCAGGCCCAGGCATGGCTGGGGGGCCACAGCTCTGGAGCAAGGGCGCCCCTGAGCGAAAGTGCTTACGGGAGACGCCAGGTGCCTCTGGCTTTTGCCCTCCGGGTGACCATCTGCAGGGCGCGATTCTCCTTCCCCAAGGCCCATTCTGAACCCCACCCTCTCTGGATGTGCGTGAGGGGACAAGTCCAGTGCCCCTTGGCCCCAGGGAACTCCAGTCACGCATTAAGACTCTGGTTTGAGTCTGAAGGAGGACAAAGTCTAGAAGTTCCAGCTGACGCTTCCAGGTTATTTCTGAGTCGTGAACCTTCACAGCAGCCCCATTTCTCAATGGGGCAGAAAACCAGGCAGCCTGGTACAAAACAGCCTGGGGTTTTGAGTGTGACAGACCTAGGTCTAAGCTTGGCTCAGCCAATCCTCAGCTGTGTGACCATGGGTAGGCCACTTGTCCTCTCTGGTTCTCAGCTTCCCAACCCAGACGGGAAGACAGTTTGAGGTCTGTGTGACTCTGCAAGTCAAGCCTCGGTTCCCTCCCCTGCAAAAGGGGATACTCTGACCACACCCCAAAGGGGGCAGGTCAAGCAAGATCTGGCAGTAGAGCATCGGGCATTAGCAGTGAAATCAGGGGCCATGGTGACAAATGCCACCTCCATTGGCATCTCTAACCGAGCCCTGGGTGCTCTCGAGGATCTGCGTGCACCAAGATCCGAAGTCTAGGGATGCTGAGGAGGGGATATTCCAGCCGTCACCTCCCTGCTCCCACCGCCCCTGGCCACAGTACAGCAACTGGGTGTGTGTCATCTTTTTGAGGGAGGGAGGGAGACGAGGAAGAGGGAGCAAGGCCTAGATCCAGCACCCACAGGACGCGGCCAAGGGCCCCGACCCCCTAGAACTGAAGGTTACGTCTCCCGGCACTGGAACATCTCTCGTGGTGGGAGTGGGGGAGGGTCCAGACTGCAGAAGGGAGGGGGCAGGATGCAGCTTCCCCCCCGACACTGTTCACCCTGAGCAAGCCTTTCCTCACACCCAGCACCCGCCTGGTTGTCAAGTGCTTCCCTTCTAGTTGCATGAATTTCACAACCCTGCTGGGAAATAGCAAAATCAGTGCCTGGCATAAAGAGGGTGCTTAACAAAAACCCAGCTGTTGAAATTCCATTTCACAGACGGAGCAAAGGTGCCTTAGGGAGGGCAGATGAGGTTCCCACAACCTTACTGTTAAGAAATGGTTGTCCTCGGGCTGGAACCCACACTACCCTTTGCCTTCAGAGGCAGCTTAGAATCAGATCAGGAGCATAAGCTCTGAAATGAGACCGGCCTTGGTTTGATTTTGGCCTTTCTCATTTACTTACTGGCTGTGAGACCTTTTGTTAGTTACTTAACCTCTCTGAGCCTTCCCTTCCTCATCTTCCATATCAAGGTTGAGGCACAGATTAGACAGCAAGTGTGTAAAATGTGCAGCACAGACTAGGTGCTCAGCGATGGCACTACTGCCCCAGTTCCTCCACAACACTACATAGCAGGCTGTGAATTTGCTGTGTTACCTTGGGAAAGTCACTTCCCCTCTCTGAGCCTCAATGTCATCATCTGTAAAATGATTCCCTTGGACATGCCCATCTGGTCCCTCAGCAGCCCTGGTCCCAATCCCCCCTTAAACCACTAGCCTGAGCCCTGGGCATGTCCACACCCGTCATACCCTCCCACCAGGGCTGGTCCCACCAGGCCACATACCTTAAAGCCTTCTCGGGTCACCTGACCCTTCTGAAAGTTCTTCATGAACTCAGAATTCTCCGCCTGGCTGTGTACCTCTCTGGTGGCCTCCTTCACGGCCTCTGACAAATCCTGGGACATGCTGCAGAGGGAAGGGACGGAGGGTCAACAAGGGAGGGTGGCAATGAGCAGGGTCCTTCCCAATGCTGAGATTCTGAGGGTGCCACCCGCCTGTCGGCAGGCGCGCAAGAGACTTGAGCTTTAGCAGGCTCCTCTGCAGAAGTCAGTCCAGCCTCCAGCCTCACACAGGCCACCTCCCAACCACCTTAACACGCAGCCCCATCAACACTCTTCAGTCATTAAAATATGTGGAATATGGTCTCCAAACCCAAGGGGGAAATCCCGGTCCCAGTTACTCTCAGTGGAGGAGAGGAGGGGGCACACAGCTCAGGGAGGAAGCAGCAGCCGGCAAGGCCAACATTCATATTCAACGACTGGCTTTTAGACCCCAGATTTCATTCATTTACTTTGTTGAGGTTTCAGATAGAAATCTCACGACTCCTTATAATGTTACGCTGATTTGGGTTAAAAAGCCTGCAAAACTCTGCTTTACTCAAAGAAAAAGTCCGTTTCTGGGAGTATTTCTGCCACACATCGGTCGGTATCCACCTCCCACAGAATTGCCATTTCTCCTTTCTCCCTCGCGCCCCTTTCAGAAACATCGCCCCCTCTTCTGTATATGCTGATCAAATTCTTGGGAGAAGAGAAGGAGCCAGACTCGGAGGTGGACAGAGCAAGGATCAAATCCCAGCTCTGACATCTGCTAGCCCGGCGACCTCGGGCGTGTTGCCTCCCTGAACTGTGCAATCCTCATCTGTAAAAGGCGGACACCGTAGCCACAGTGACAGCTTGACAAGTAGTGAGGGGCGGCCGCGGCCAAGAGGGGGCTCTAGTGAGAGATCTCCGGCCTCCCACCCCGGCCCCGGAGCCCCAGGATCCTAGATGGAGAGCACCTACCAAGCGCACTCAGAAGTCCAACATCCAAAACAAAGTTGGATACCATGGCGACACTGCCATCGGGTCGCCCACCCCACGCCAGGGCGCCAGGCATGGGGCCCACCTTCCACCCCTCTAACTACCCCACCGGCCCGCGCAGGGCTGGAACCGGCTCCCCCTGACTCCACAGCCCCAGCGCGTGGCCACCCAGCGCGGTCGCCTCCCGGCTGCGGCGGGAGGCACTGGGCCGGGCGGGACAGGCCGTCCCCGCTTGCCTGTGGGGCTGCGGGCGCTCCATCGGCGGGCGGCGCTCGGCTCGGCTGGCTCGGGGCGGCTCCGACGTCTCGGCACCGGCAGGAGGAGGCGGAGAGCGGCGGTGCCCAGCCCGGCCGCGCCGTCCATTTATCCCCGGGCCGCGTCACGTGGCCGCGGCCCCCGGCGGCTCCTGCTCGCCGCCCCCACGTTGCAACACCCGCGCCGCCCGCGCGCCCCGCCCGCCCCCGGGGGCGGGGGAGCAGCGGTCATATGACCCTTGAAAAACAAAGCAGTTTAGAACAGGACGTTACAAAAACTCTTCTGGAAACCTGAGCAGCTGTGATTTTGCCCTTTTCAGAGCTCCCCACGCCGGGCTGGGACTTGAGCACCCAGGAATCTGGAAGGATCCAGAGGGCTGGGAGACGTGCTTCTCAGAGCAGGAGGTGGGTGGGCAACTCCAGGGACTGACCATACCCAGCCCCCGCCTGCAGTCTCCTCCTCCCCCGCCCTGGGAGCCTGCTCCCTAAATGTCACCTCCTCCTGGGACCCTCAGCTGACAGCCTGCCCCCTCACCTGTCCCTTTCATGTACGTTTAGGACCTGTTTTTTGAGCACCTACTAAAGGCTAGACACTGTACTGTTTTCATGGTCCATCCCTACAGCTGTCCTGTGGGGTGGATCACTCCCATTCTACAGATGGGGAAACTGAGACCCCGGGGGATGAAGTGACATGCCCACGGTCACACATAAAGCAGGAAACCAGAACCCAAACCCCAGAGTGAGTTGGGGATGCTGCCTGCCTCCTCCAGGCTCTCTTAGCACTTGGTACACAACTTGACAGTGACGCTTGTCATACGAACCACCTCCCTGTCTGCATGCTCAGGGCGCCCTTCCAGGGCTGTCAGGTCTGACTCATCTCGTCCCCAACACCCGATGGAGGCTGGGAACAGAGCTGCCCCTTGCTGAACTGTTGAATTAATTCAGGGGGACGGAGGATCAGGTGACTGGGTGAACCCAGATGGCAAAACAAGTGGACTGATGATTCCTGAAGTCCCTTCCCCATGCCACAATCCTGGATTCTAAATTAAAACAGAAAAGAGGTGACTTTTGGCTCAGGGCAAGGAAGTCATTTGGAAACGGAGGGAGCAAGTGCCCCACCTCGGGAGGAATGCAAGTACAGGCTTGAGGACAGCCTGTCAAGCATGGATTCCCCAGTGGGGGCTGGGGTGGCTGAGGCCTGTGGCCCCTTCCACCCGTGCATCCTAGGAGTCTCTGATGCTGGGAAACAGTGTGGGTGAACCAGGTACAGATGGGCAGTGGATCCGTCCAATCAGAGGCCAGAGTGCTAGCCCATGATCCCTCCTCTTCCAGGGTCACTTACCTGACTTTCAGTCACCAAATCAATCCAGCGACCTGGGGCTTGCAAGCCTTCTGGTTAGAGGGCTATGCCGAGGAGGGGAGCCCTTGGTATAAACTATATCACCGCCTCCTGCTTCTATGAACAATGATAACAGTACTAACTTGAATATTCACGGAGCACCTACTGTGCACCAGATCCTATTCCAAGCACTAAGTATGAACTCCTTTGATCCTGATAATGACGCCATAAGGGTGGTACAATTATTATCCCCATTTTGCAAATGAGGAAACTGAGGCAGAGAGGTTAAGATAAGGGTTAGAATCCAGGCAGTCTGGCACAAAAACTTCAGGGTGGGGAATCATTTCCCAGAATGCAGCAGAGGGCGAGACAAGGAACCTGGCTGTTCCCACGACAGCCCAGAGGGACCTCCAAGGCCGTCTTGGAAAACTAGCCTCTACTACTTTACAAGACACACAGAGGTCAGAACTGTAGCTGCTATATGATTCCAAAAAGAGCTGCCAAGAACTTTCCAGAAACAAGGACTATTAGAAACCAATGCCATCATCAGAATGTAAGCTCCAGCAGGGCAGAGACCTTGTCTGCTTTGCTTCGTAAATCCACAGAGCCTGGAACTGTGCCTGGCAGGTAGCAGACAATCAATACTGATTGAATGAATCAATGAACGAATACAGTCATGTGTCACTTAACAAGGGGGACACGTTCTGAGAAATGCATCGTTAGGGGTGTCGTTGTCGTGTGAACGTCACAGAGTGTACTTATGCAAACCTAGATGGTACAGCCCACTACACACCTAGGCCACATGGTACTGATCTTACAGGACCACCGTCATATATGTGGTCCGTCGTTGATGGAAACTTTACGTGGTGCGTGACTGTAGATGCCACAACGTCTGCCACGAGATGATAACATTGCTAGGTTGCCAGAAAGGGCTGGAACCAAGCTACAATTACGAATTGCAATCTTAGCCAGCCTTTATTGAGCACTTACTATGTGCAGGATCTCATTTAATCCTGACAACAGCCTTGCAAGGTGTCATTTTCCAACTCCATTTTGTCCACATAAACACTGAAGCACAGAGAGGTTAAGTAGTTTTCCCACGTCACACAGCTGGTGATGGCAGAGCCAGGATTCCAACCATGGCACTCTGAAGCCAGAGCCCGTGCTCCTGACCCCCACGCTACCTGCCCTCTCACCGAGGGGCCAGTCTGTCCTCCAGGAGTTTAGGGGAGAAGAGTGTGAAGATCTGAAATCTTCCCATCTGCAGATCCAGAGCCTGTTGACTCAGGAACCCCAGAAAGTGGAGTTCATGTGATCTGACTCCTTCTTATTTAACACAGTGTGGAGCACAGGTCCCAAGAGAGAGTGACTTGCCCAGACTGTGCCCCTACTGGACACAGAGCCTTCAGTGACCAAGGGTTGCTGGTTCCCAGTCCAGGCTTGCTCCTCATTCCACCTGGGAGCCCCAGACTTGGCTAGAACGGACCCCACACATGCACAACCCCAGGGCGGAGGAGGCCAGGTCAGAGCTGATCTGGTCCTCTCCTCTGTCCCAGTGTTGAGCTTTCGGCCGTACCCCATGCTGAGTCAGCTTCCCGACTTCCCCTTTCCTGTCCTCCAGTAACAGGAATGATCCAAATGGTATTCTTTGTCCTCCTGTGGCAGGCTGAATAATGGTCCCCCAAGGATGTCCACCTCCTCATCGCAGAACCTGTGAATAACTTACTTTACACGGAAAAAGGGATTTGCAGTGTGATTAAGTTAAGGATCTCGAGATGACAAGATGATCCTAGATTATCCTCATGGGGGCCTAATGTAATCACAAAAGCCCTTCTAAGAGGGAGGCTGGAGGGTTACGGATACAGAAGGTGATGTGACAAGGGAAGCAGGACAGAGAGAGAGATTGAGAGATGCTGTGCTGCTGGCTTTGAAGATGGAGTTAGGGGCCACGAGACAAGGAAAGCAGGTGGCTTCCACAAGCTGGAAAAAGCCAAGAAGTGGATTCTCCCCTAGAACTCCAGATGAATGCAGCCCTGCCGGCCCATTTCAGGACTCTGACCTCTAGAACTCCAGAGAATAAATTTGTGTTGTTTTAAGCTACTATGTTTGTGGTATGTCAGAAGAGCCATAGGGAAGGGATACCCCCCCAACTCAGAGTCTGTCTTGCTCATCCCTGGGGCAGAGCCTCCACTTCGGGAAGCAGGAGAAGGATGGATAGAGAGGTCCCGGGGGTGCTCCCTCAACGACTCTCTTCTGCCGTCTCCCAGCGTGATGTCTGGCCTTCCACCATTAAAGCTTTATTCTGTCAGGGACCCACCACCCTCTTCTCTGGGCCTTCCTTTCAGACTCAAATGCTTGAGCAGCTAGAATGGGTGAGTTCTGTATGAGCCCTGGAGATACCATGCTGAAGTGGCTAGAAGCCCACTGTGACGGAGCATGCATTCTCAGGATCCTAATGGAGGACGTCTGGGGCGTGAGAAAACGCTCCAGAAAGGGAACAGGGGCACAGAAGATGAACGTGGGTGGAATTAGAAAGAAACATTGGG